AATGGCGTGTTTAGCAAGTAGAGCATCAAATATTTCTGAATAAAATGAAATGTCTTCCAGATCTTAGCGATATTTCGATCAAAAGTTATAACACTTCTACAAAAGAAGTTCAAATTCTTACGATGTATTTTTTTCCCAGAATTTTCTGACATGCTCTTCTACGGGTTTTCATCTGTATACACTAGAACCTTTCGCGAACTTCATCTGATCGCACTCACAATTTGGTCTTCAGATATCTCAAAATGTATACTTTTCTTTTTGACTTGTTGGTTACAGGCTATAATGTTTTCAACATGAAAAACCGAGGTTTTATGTAAGGTGCCGGAAATGCAAAAGTCGAGCGAATTTTTTTCCGCGTTGGATCATACATGGTTGGACAGAGCTCATCGAGCTGATCAAGAATATCTAAGTTCAAGAAAATTCAAGTCCGTTTGCACCGATTGAAATTTCTAAAATTATTCTATTTGAATTTAGCATCAAAAACTGAGCACATCCAAGTTAGGACTAGAGAATTTCATCATAACTCTCTTCCTTAGTAAACTCGACTAGAACCGGCAAGGGGCAAAATGACACCTTGTTCTCGTTTTCTTTTGTTCGAAGAATCGCCCTAATATTCATATGTCATTTGAATCATCCATTGAAGCAGGATAATCGAAAACTGTTGTTTCGCCTGTTGATGTTAACGGAATGCTTCATTGATATTAAATTCAATTAAACATAGTGGATATTCGTGAATTCTTTTTAATTGTCGGATCGTACGAGCATCTTGCCGCGAATTAGAACGAACTAGTGGTACAACTATATTTTCTGGGAATGAATTAGCAAACGGATTGTTCGAATTTTGTTGATTTATCTACGATCTTAAAAGTTGTGACGAATCATTTTTAATCGGTATAGTTAGTTGTCTATTTTGCTGTGTTGATTGTATGCGGCTTTGTGACCAGTCGTAATGTGAATTAACCGTTGCTTTTAATTGGACTTTAGCAGGTAAATTATGACCAACGATAACATTATATCCAATCTGATGACGTAAATCACTCAATTTACAAATAAAAGTGATATCGTCAGAAATCAACACGACAGTGGGAGGCTTATGAACACCTTCGAATCGGTCAAGATCTGATGATATATATCGATCAACTGCACCTGGTTTTCCTGTCCGGCACATGAACAATTCTGGTATTTGCATGTAACAGACTAAGTTGTTTATCCTTCGATATTATATTACAGTCATAATAACAACTGGAACTACTTTCTCTTAAACCAGACGAAATTATCAGCAAATTTATTAAATGTTCTTGTTTTTGAACTTGGACCAGTGATACTAGTTGTGATAGTGTTGCTGTTGACGGCAATTTATAACGTTTATCTGATGTACCTGCATGACAATGACGAAATGGACATTTGTCACCTTTTTGCAATATTCGCTGGTAAAATATATATTGTCTGTCAACGCTTGTCCAAAGTTTATATCAGACACCGTTCAACAGTTTCTAAAGGATAAAAAATAGCCATTACACAATTTTCTTCATTGAACAATTGTTGATGTGGAATCTTTGCAAACGCGTTCATTCTCAAATATAAAGTAAATTGTCAATATAATATGTTTTGCAGTTAAAAACCACCAGAGAGTGCAGCAGGAAAAATAAAAAAGAGTATGAGCTCTCTTCGTTGAACGTAAAGGGCGCATCCATACAGAGGTAGGCAAGTCAAGTCAAAAATGCCTCAAATCCAAGTCAAATCAAGTCTGACTTGAGTTGATCGAAAAAATTTTGGGGTGTGGACTTGACTTGAGAGATTTTTTTGTCGTGACTGGACTTGAAAATTTTTTCAATTCAAGTCATTTCTAGTAAGAGATTTTCGTTTAAATTAGGCAATTTTTCCGATGAAACAGTTTCTGAAACTATAAAAACTGTCTTTCACCCAAAAGCCGCTAGCAAATTTTATGTTCTGCCTAATTTTTAATGAGACTTGATTTGATGGCAAAAATTTTTCGCACCTCGACTTGACTTGACTTGTGACTTGTCTAGCTCTGGCACCATACAAATGGTTCGAGAGTTACTTGTCAGATCATCGGCACAGAGTTCAGACAGGTACTTCAGAAATAGTGAGCGTCCCGTCTGGAGTCTCCCAAGACTTCATTTTAGGTCCCTACTGTTTCTGACCTTTATGAATGATCCAGCGCATGTACTGCTCTATCCGTTCTTTTTGTCGACTAGTGCTGGTTATTGTGCCCGATGAATGTTCTGTGTAAAGCAGCAAAATACATCGATTTTCTTTCTCGATGTTCTATCTCTGGTTTAAATTTGAGCTCTCCATGCTCTCCTCTCTGTTACTTTCATATAACCAAACAAGGTTTTTTGTTATAGTGCTCTCTACTGTCTATACCCTTATATGTTTCGTGCCTAAAAATTTGTTTTTCTTAACCTTTCTTGTACGGAAAAATGCTTTTTCTTTCTCCGCTAGGTGTTTTCCGAAGACCGGTCCTCAGTATAGTGAGTTTCTCAAATTTTCCTAAAGTCCAAAGTCGATGAAATTTTCGTAGAATGTTGATCTATATATACTACATCGATACTGTTGGCGCGAATTAGCACGGACAACACTGGACGGAGTTGTAAATTTTCGAAAAACACCTCGGTTTTCCGGTTAGTCTCCATTTTTTCACTCCGGAAACATTTTTATTGAAAGATAATGTGAGATTCAGAATCAGCGCAAAAAACTGCATCAAATATTGTGTCTTTCAATACTGTTGGAGTAGAAAATTTGTAACCGCGGAATAGGGATTGAGTATTGGTTGTAGCGTAAGAAGTTGTAAACTTCTCTGGTGGAGTAATGGACTGTTATAACAGGCGCTGATCATTCATATCGGAGATGATAAAGTATTGGATGAGTCTGAAAATTTAGGTACAAAAAAAGAAGAAAAAAGGTAATAGTAAAATAGAGTGTGGTACACTCAGAACTCAGAGGAAAAAAACGTGTATTATTTATACCGAGGAGGTTCCTTTTTTTGAAACTATTTTTCTTTCTTTTTAACGGCCTTCTAAACTTCTCTTTTTACATTGTAATAAAAAAATCGATGGGCAGATTCCTTTTTCTAACGTAAGTTCATTTTTCTTCATCAGAAAAACACTTTTGCTGCACTAATACATCCATAACTCGTCTTGCTTTATTTCTGCACAAAATTACTTGTTCTGTCACAATATATGTCGTAATTTTCACGAGATTGATAATGGCAATATTGTGAATGGACAATAATTTATGAACGTAGCCTTCACGACTTAACAAGATTATTTGTTTGCTGGTGTCTCATCGGTATGTTTAAGATCAATGTTTGTAAGAATGAGTTGTCGACGGAAGTTGATGTTCTCAGCATTCAATTGAAATTTATTACGCTTACAGAAATCTTCCAAGAAGACATCATTAAACTTTTTTTTCCATTAAGGCACTTTTGGAACAAATGTGCCAGTTTTTGTAACTGAGTTTTCTACCATATTTATAAACATTTGGAATAAGAAAAGCGTTTGAAGATGCATTTTGAGCTGACATGGCGGTTAAAGCCCATTCAACTCTATTTATCACGGAATATATTCAAAGCACTATTGAAGAAAAACACATCTGGATTGATTTACTTCAAAAACGCATTTGAACGGATTGACAATACGAAAAACACTTAAATGAATTTTGTACTTACAAATTCAAATCAAATGTCTTGATCTGATAAATATTATAATTTCTGATTTGTAAAGCAAAATTCTTCAAAGGCAAGTAGAGTGTAAAATACGTTTAAATGTTTTGTTTCACTAGTCAGTTGAACATCTTTAGAGTGCAAAATGAATTTCAACAGATTCTTAATTAACAAAGATGTGAATTGATTTTTCCAAATAAATCAATTTAATAGTACATAAAGTACGACATTCGTTTAAATACATTCACACATAACTCTGTTCAGATGTGTGTTATTCAAAAATAGTTCAAATGTTTTTTTAAATTCTAAAGACATTTAAACATGTTTAGGAAACGCATCTATTTGAATACATTTAAAAAATATAGCTGTTTCAATAAATTTAGGCTAAGCTAACTAACGACTTTTTTTCGAATTATTTCTATTGGTGATTTAGTCATTAAGATAGTCTACTTCGTATGGACCACCACAACTGGTAATAGATCATAACTATGACTATCTACATTCTTTTATTTAACAAAACATTTAATAAAAGTTGAATGATTGTGAAGATAAAATCAAGAGTGGAATGTCAGAAACATAAAATTCGAAACACATTATCATATCAAACAATGACAGTGGAGAGAGAAATTCAAAAATATCATCGGGTTTCTATTAATGTTCAAATTTCATTAGCCTGACGAACGTCAAGGGATTTTAATTGATGAAATGTCATATACCGACATGACGTAAGAAGGATTTCATTAGTAGGTGGGCATTGTCTTCAATTTTTCCTAAGCGATATAAACACAAATATGAGTTCTTAGGTAGTAGGATGTTTAAAATTTTTAGTGAAAGAACGCCTGCTTCAGCCCATTTATTAGATACACTATCAGTACGTCGAAGTAGATTATTAAATTTATCCCATATCAAATCTTGAAATTTTATACCATATTGGACCAGGTTATCTCTGGATCTATAAAGTTTTGTCACAATTTTATCTGATATCTGCTCCCAGAAGTCTCGATTTTGAAGTGTTAATGCAACAAACCTAGCAAAACCATTATCATTCAGATTATTTACAATAATTGATTCAATGGCTGAAATATATTTTATTCTGGTTTATTTGTATTTGTTAAATCATTTATGTATGACTGTGAATTAACATTAACTGAAATACCTTTACCATCACGAATAATATTTTCATCTTCATCAGCCAATACATTGAATTCATAATAATACTTATTTTTCTGTGTTAGATTATTCAGATAAACGTCTCTCATTATTCTAAGTCTACCATTAACTTGACCTTGTAGTTGTTCATTACTCATAACAAATTAACATAAATCACTAATAACAAATAATGGTTGTATTTTCGCTTCTTTAAGTTCTTTAAGCAAATCTAGTACACCATCCGAATTTAACCATGAATCAATATCATTTGTATTCCAAAAACGAAAAGTTAAGGACAGAGACACATTTGAGCAAGAATCGGCTCACTCGTATTTTTCCACTTCCAATGACCGAATATTATTAGAAAAGTCACATTTTTATTATTCTCTGTCATTCCCGAGCGAAAAAAGTGGAAAAAAGTTTTTTTCCACTGTCATCGTCTTGCTGTCCCATCCAACTAGCAATTTAATTATTTATCTTGGGGTACAACAATAGATCAGATTCATTCGATCATTGCTAGATAGACGATAAAAAACTAAATTGAGAGGCACCCAAATCATATCTTCGCTACTATTTGTTAAACAATGGCAGACCAAACTTTTATATGGTCATATACTTAATAGGATACAGATTCACAAAATTTTAATTCTCTTATGTACTTAAAAGTCAGATTGCATCTCAGTTTATATATATTCCGATAGTCCTTGAAATTCTCATAGATTCAACGCACTCTTCAACATAGAATGATGTCAAAAGCAGACGCTTCCAATTTTCGAAAAAAGTCGCGAGAACAACATCACCTGTGGTTTATTCGGCTGGCAAAAAAAGAACAGTCATTGCCTCATTTTTCTCTTTCTTTTGACTTAATATACACAGTTCGGCGCCGTGACATGAAATTTCTAACTGAAAAATGTTAATCGTTAGTCAAGAGCGTATGGAGAATATTTTTTCTTGCGTTTTTCCATAAAGCTCTAGCAGTGCGTGGAAGAACACAAGAGAAATATGAACTAAACTGTACAACTTGCCTTGCTGTTGTCACATAGGTGAAAAAGTCACTAAGAAACTGGTGTTGAATGGAAAGGCTGGAGTATAGATGACAAGACGGTATAGACTCTGGATCAAAATTAGACGTCTTTTGTCCAGTTTTCTAGAGCTCAAGTCGTCCTATCCTCCGGCAAGTTGACTTTTTCTTCAATGTATTGATTTTGTCTATATGGCCAAACGTGATGCACGGACATTTTGGACAAAATCATTTCAGTTATCTCACGATAGAGCCGACGAAGAGAACAAGAAAGACTAAATCAACGCGGTGAACTCAATAAAAACAGAACCACCAGTCTAACTAACGAACTTAAGTACGTGTTCGTAGTAGTATGCTTGTTATGAGGTAAGTGGTCCTCTTTTTTGCGGGCCAAAAGTAGAGTTTTAGGTGGGTCCAAATTCTCTAACCCGCATCCGGTATTTATCCGCAGCTGCTGAATCCGTACCCAAATATTTTACCCAGCAGACTAAAAGTTTGCTACAATTTTTCAGACTTATGAACAGACAGAAAACTTGTTATCTTAGTTTTCAGGTTGAATTAAGATACAGACTGAAAGCATCTCTCTGAAGTGATAAAATCGTGAAAAAGGCATCTAAAACTCCACAAAACGGGTTTCAGACGAAAACGGTGGCAGAATTTTAATCATAATCGAAAACAAAATAACATGACAATCTCATCCTCAAACTCGCGCCCTGTTTTACTAGAAAAAGTCAAACCCCATGTCGCACTTTTTTTCGTAATACCGCCGGTTACCGCCCGATCGATAGATTACCGATGGTTAACCGTAT